CACTGAAAGTGTTATAAGATCTGTTACTGCTCTGGGATAGAATTAACTTAAAAAAAACCCCAAGCATTTACATGTCTGGGAGATATGACACGTGTGCAGCACGTGTGCGTGTGTGTGAGGGTGGCAGCCTCGGTCTGGAGAGCACGTGGGGAAAAAAATGCAGTGTGGTTTTGTCAGCCAGGAAATACCGGAGTCACAAGTTTGATAGTGAGGGAAACAGCTTTTAGATTTTTTAATTATTATTATTGTTATTAAAATTGTTACTTAGTAAATGCTTTATTTTAGTAAATGCTTGCTCCTCAGCCACCTTCCCCTGAGGCGCCGCTGGTGAGGTGAGGGCAGGGCGGTGGGAATTGGCGGGGACGGCTCCCACCTCCCCTCACAGCCTCCATGAGGGGATGCTGGAGCCGTCCCTGTCGTTCCAGCCTCCGTGAGGGGATGGCGGAAACACCTGGGACAGGTGAAAACACCTGACCAAAGAGGAAAGCACAGGTGAGCTGAGGCCAGCTGGAGGTGCCGGCCAGGGCTCGGGGCTGTGGGATGAGGGGTTCAGGGACGGGTGGGTGCCATGTGAGGGCGGGCGCCATCTCCCTCCGTGAGGGTGAGTGCCATGGTCCCTCCAAGAGGGTGAGTGCCATGGTCCCTCCAAGAGGGTGAGTTCAATGTTCCCTCCATGAGGGTGGATGCAATGTTCCCTCTGTGAGAGCAGGTGCCATATTCCCTCCGTGAGAGTGGGTGCCATGTTCTGTCTGTGAGGGCGAGTGCCACGTTCCATCCGTGATGGCGGGTGCCATGTTCCATCCATGAGGGCTGATGCTATGTTCTGTCTGTGAGGGCGGGGGCCATGTCCCTGTGTGAGGGTGGGTGCCATGTTCCGTCCATGAGGGCGGGTGCCATGCTGCTCCGTGAGGGAGGCTGCCATATTCTGTCCATGAGGGCTGGTACCATATTCCGTCTGTGAGGGCGAGTACCATGTCCCTGCCTGAGGGCGGCTGCCATGTTCCCTCCGTGAGGGCAGGTGACATGTTCGGTCTGTGAGGGCGGGTGCCATGTTGCTCCGTGAGGGCGAGTGCCACGTTCCGTCCATGACAGCAGGTGCCATGTTCCATCCATGATGGCGGGTGCCATGTCCCTTTGTGAGGGTAGATGCCATGTTCCATCCATGAGGGCAGATGCCATGCTCTGTCCATGATGGTGGGTGCCATGTCCCTTTGTGAGGGCAGATGCCATGCTCTGTCCATGAGGATGGGTGCCATGTTCCATCCATGAAGGTAGATGCCATTTTGCTCCATGAGGGCGGGTGCCATATTACATCCATGAGCGCTATTTTCCCACAAAGCTGGTGGCGGTTCAAGGGGACTCCATGCTCTGGTATATTTTCACCTGCTGTAATCTCAGCAGGAGCCTTTGCTGTCCTGCTTAAACCTCTGGTTTTGGATCTTGAAAGAAACCTTTGCAGTGGTCAGTAAATCCTAACGTTGCACTTGCTCTGGTTTATGAGATTTCCAGTAGTGCACAGCTTTGGAGATTTGTCACTTGGCAGATCAAACAGCTCTGAGGGCACAGCAGATTTGGGATGAGGGGGGAGAACTCAACTGTCTCCATCTTGTTTAAATGAGCTTCGGGTTCAGTACATTACCGTGCTAATAAGAGAGCCTTGTGTTCCCACACTGCTCTTACAGGCATTCTCACACTGCTGACCTGACCTCCTTAATCCTGGCTTTCCTGAAGGAAAAGCTGATCCATCAGGCCTCCTGTACCTAAACTGGGATAAAAAGAAGCAACGGGCCTATTTCAGTGCCAATGTTTCTCAGTTACCTCAAGCAGCCTTGTTCTTTTTGTATTCCTCCCTTATTTCCCTGGGAAGTGGGAAAAAAAAAAAAAAAGGAAAAAACCCTCAAGATGTGAGGGCTCAAATCACTGAAGATGAGAAGCAGCAAAAGGAAATAAAGAGGTCAAACACCTAAGTTAGCTTATGATTAAAAAGAAATTAGTGGGGCTATTTTTAATTTGTTTAAATATATTACTTTCTATTAAAAAGGTCTTTATATTTCACTAAGTATGAGATGAAGTGTGTCACCAGAGGAAGATTTTTCAGTTTTAGTATCTTTTCCTCTTAAAAAATTAGAAGTCCAACGCCACTGAAGTCACAAATGTAAAACCACTAAGAATGGCAGCAGTGTGGGACTTTTCCTGTACAATACACCATGGTTGCCTTCCAGTCAGGACAGTTTGCAAGAATTCAGGGGAGAAAGATACAAGCTGTGCATAATGGGTAGACTGTGAGTAGGTCTATGGTACCACATAGCCCCCCAAATACTCAATCTCAGAACGTTGTACAGCCTTCAGAACCAAAACTCTGCGTCTCTGCACTCAGACCCATCCCAAGGTGTTGAGTCCCAGACTAAGGAGCTGCTGGGAGCCCTCTTGGGAGGCTGAAGTGCATCTCATATCTGAGTTTAGCTGCCAGAGCTTACGTCTTTTTTTGTTAAATCTGCTAGACTATGGATATTTTCGGGCTGCAGCTGACAGAAATTAGAAAGGGTAGCTGTAAACAAAGTTTTGTAATGCCAGAAGTCTATGACGGAGCTTTTTTAATCAGTGCACAAGCTGAGCAGTGATCTCACTGTTGTAAGGCTTTCCATGAGATTGCTTGTTTTTCCATTTTTCTTTTCTTTCTTTTGTTGAATGAAGTTCCTTAAGAGTCAATACAGCAATTGGGTGAGCCTCTGCAAACTCACTCATGGGGGAAATCCACCATAATGTTTTAAAAAAAAAGTAACAAAACATTTGCTTAGGAATTTGTCACAAAACTCTAAACCAATGCAGACACCCTCAAGTTTCATGTTTTGTTCCCAGCTGGAAAGCCAGGCCAGAGTCACTGAACATTTCACCAAGTCTTGCTAACCTTCTGAGCTGAGTTGTGAGAAATTGTTCTTGACATCACATGAGCTGGGCCACAAGGCAGGACTAATGTGATATTTGCTGTCGAAGGTTTCCTAGGAAACATGCTACTTAGAGCACTCAGCCCTCCCTGCCACCCTTCCTGCATCCTCCGCCTTCACCCGCTCCCACAGGTTTTGCAGAGGGCAGCGATGTCCCCTCTGACCTGTGGGCACCCTCGGCACAGACCTTCCCAGCTGAGCAGAGAGGGGCTGTGGAGCTTTTTGAAGCTCACCCTCCTAATTGCCCTTTTTTCTCTGATTTACCCATTTCTCTCTTCTTTCCCCCGCCTGCCCCCCCCAGCAATCTGCAATGGAAGAAGTGAGAGAAACTAAGCTACATCCTGCAAGACTGGAGGTGGAGAGAAAGAAGTTTTAGACTTCCCAGTAATCTTAAGCTTTCCTGCCAAAGGGGAACTGGTGGAAGAAGGTTAGGAAAATCAGCAGATAACTTACAACTTAACTTGCCACGGGGCTCCTCATATTTTGCCTGCCGGTTGCAATGCAGGAGCTGTTATGGTGCATAACCTACAGGGATTTTTCAGTGCTGTGGAGTTCCCCAATTCATTCCCATAATTTTCACCTGGTGGCTGTAGGTGCTGTCCTTGATATCAGACCCCCATAAATGATTCCTGTCGTTCAGGCCAAACTTTTCAGCTTGGCCATTTGGAGCGGCAGGATGGTTCCCACTGAGGATGAGATGAATGGGGTCGGTTCACACATGTTAACCAAATGCAAATCCTTAGATGGAAACTCATGGTCAGCTTTTTCCAATGCTATTTTCAGAACTTCCACAAAAGACCACGCCGTGATTATATGTATTCATGATATGTATATCATGTATTCAGCTCAAACAATATTTGAATGATGCATTTAGAATTCTTCCTAAAAAAGGCCCATGCTTCTGTAAACTGCACCATATTTGTAAAGGAGGGGAAAAAAAAAATCCAGCTTGCTCTTCCTTTCTTCCTCTCTTTCTTTTTAATCTATCATTTCATAAGGCTGTTAGAATTGGTGTTAATGCTACATTACACACAGACACACTTCTACATAATCATATGCATTTGCCTGTATTCTGTACATAAACAACCCTATGGAATCCCGACTCTTCATTGTTAAGTTTGTCTCCGTATTTTTCAAAGCAAAGCAGCTCTGGGTGTCAAATAGTTGCTTTTTTCACTCTCTTTCACTGGGCTTTACAGCAAATACAGCCAAAAAAATAACGCCTTGGGAGTTTTGTGGGCTGGGTGGTGTTTTTGTTTCAGTTTGAGGTTTTTTTGTTTGTTTTCTTGTTACTGGTTTTCTTTGGGTTTTTCTTTTGGGTTTTTTGATTTGTGGTGGTTGGTTGGAGTAAAATTTTGTTTTTTGTGTATCTTATTTACTATTGTAAATAAATAAGTTAATGTTTATTTATGTTTATTTTATTTGTATGTTTTGTTTTGTTTTTCCTACCTGGCCATTTATATAACTACCCATTTTCCCTCATGTCTCTTCCTCTGATGAAAAAAACAAACATTTTTTTGACTGTCATTAAGTGTCCTTCATGTTGCCAATATTGATTTCCCCAACCCCTTAAAGGCCAAGAGTGTCACCTCCATGATGCTCCCTAAAGCCACTGACTTGGAAAACAGGAGTGCTAAGGTTGCTGTTGCCAGACATTGGTTTCCCACATGGTAGGCAAGAAGACAAGTAGCCTTAAGTCACTGGACTGATTAATTTCTCTCTGTGATGCCATTCACTTCACCTTACCATGTTTGTGTAGTGAAGCTGTTTGGCCAACATGCCCTATGGGCCTTGTCTTAGTAATGAAAGTGCAGAGGGTGGAAAAGAAATTCCATTCTGGATCGTTTAGCTCTGTCTTCAGTTTCTGGTGGCATCCAAAAGATTGGGCTGGCTTTTGGGCTGGCTTTTCAGTGTGCTTTCAGGTTCAGAAGAGCAGCATCTCCTAGGCCCTGCAAAGCCAGTGGGGCTTCCCCTGTATAAATCTGGGCACAGCTGGGGTCTTTGGGGCCAGAGGAGGAACTCCAGTAATACTCTTCTCTTTCTGTTCCAGTCCAGAAAAGTTTCTTCCAAGCATTAAGACCGTGATGTCAGTCAGCCTCAGAGGAACAGCATCAGATCACCTGAGAATCAGCATGCAAGCCTCAGGTCTGTACCAATCTCTTCTATCAGCATTTTTTCATTGCAGAGTCAGGATTTCCTGGCATGGAATCCTGATGGTGGGTTTGCAAATGAACCTCTACCTGTGAGATAGCATCGTGAAACCACATTGCTGACAGCAGGCAGAACTTTTCTGAATGGTGACAGAATACCCAGCTCATGAGGTTCTGGTGGGCCACCCAGACAATTTGTTGGTTTCTAAGCACTTTCAGAATGTCAGTCCTAGTGGCACCACATATAATATATGTCAGAGGCCATTGTTAAACCCCACTGCCAGCTGAGGAAGGGAGGAAAGGAGATTACAAAACCACAACTTGAGTTATTGTTGGAGACAGGACTGGAGCTCGGGATTTCCTGGGCAGATTACCACCCTTCACTTCTCCCTTGGCTGGTATAGTTAGCAGTGTCCTGGATCTCCCTTATTCCCATGCAAGGACACATCTGAATATGTTTTTCTTTGAAATTGTCCATCCTGGGGTCATTTCTGTTGTGCAGTTCTGGCTGCTAATGATCTGTTTGCTGCAGTGAAATGCTCACTAGTACACTGTAAATCATGAAGACATGTAAAGGCATCCATTTGCGACTACTGATTTAATCTCTCTGGATTTCTGGAACTGGCTACCTGTAAAACTTTGGGAGCCAGGTCTTGAAAAAAACCGGTCCTTTGTGTCTCTTTAATTTTTTTGTTCTTGGCTGGTAGCCATTCAGAGGGATGTCTTACATCCTTGAGATGAACTTAGCGCAGTCCTCATTGACCTAGCAAGCCATTTTTTCCCCTGATGACAAGCTGGGATCACATTTTGTAATGACTGCTGCAAGATTGTCTTGTTAGGGAAAGGGCTAAGGTGGGATCGTCTTTAATGATAATGAAAGCACCTCATAAAACCTGATTCCTTGGTTTTACAGGCATGGCTCTAGAATTTTAGCCGATGCAGACTTAGTAAATCAGTCAGTCAAAAATTATATCAGTTGAAGTATAATGTTCATGGCAGTCCAAAAACCTGAACATGTAGGTGATTTGGAGGGCATTTTGTTAACTCTTTAATTGGTCGTTTGAGTGCTGGAGGCAGTAGCTAATTGCCTGTAGGTCAGAGTAGTCCTAGAGCTTAGGTAAATGTATATTGTCATATGTCACATTTTCATATGGCTCCTTTGCACAGGTTGGTAAAAATGATTGCTGCATAATTAAAATTAAGACAAGGTGGGAAAAGTGATTCAATTAAACCCCTGAAGCCATTGCACAAATTATCTGAAGTACCAAAAACTAATGAATAGTTAAAACTAGTTTTATCTTTTTACTCTTCATTCTTGAATCCTGAGGGTATCAAAATGGCGATTGAGTCTCTCTCAAAGATCTCAGAGGTGAGCTTTTGGGTGGGCAGTGCAAGTATGAGTCAGCTCGGAGGAATCCAGGCCTTTTAAAATACCAGCACACAGAAACTTTGTTACCTAGTTGTTTTGAATTGAAAATAACCAGACCTTACGCACAAGAGACCTTTTGGTTTCTCCACCAGCCCAGAATTATTTTGAAAACATCTGCAATATTTCACTCTGCATGCAGCAGGTATTATATAGCAGGGAGGGTGATGACAGTAAAAATAAATGAGATATGTTGTAACCAAAACATCCCAAGTTTTACATCATACATTTCACAACCTTAGCAAGCATCCTGTGCTTTGACTTGAAGGCTGAAGGCATGTGGTAGTTTTACAAATGTCTATTAGTATTAACAAATATGTTCCATTATTAGACAGTGTGCCACTGCCCCAACCTCCCGGTGCAAGAGGTGAGTTAATGTGGCTTATAAAACACAGGAGTGCTGCAGGCACAGGCTGTGGAAATCAGAGCCCTGGCTGAGCAGGAGGTCTCATTACATTCCATGGGACAACTTACTAGAGGCCTGAACATGGGCATAAAAGCTGCCTCCCAGCTCAGGCTTTTTATGGTTCCTGTCCTTTCCCAGAGCAATGCAACTTTAGGAGGTTTAGAGCAACAAGGTCTGCACCTTTGGATACTGGCAGTGTGCTAATTCTGGCTGGGTTTAAAATGAGAAAATTAAGATACGTATGTTTGCACTGTCTCTGCACCTTTTAACAGAATGCTTTAGTGTCTGAAAGTAGCAGGACACTGAGAGTTGTGCTCTTCCACAGTTGTGGGCTTTTGTGTTTGTTTTGGGGTTTTTTTGTTTGTTTGGGGGTTTTTTTTGCGTGGTTCTTTGCTGTAAACCTCCATTTCTGGGACACAGAGTGTTTCTTGGCCAGGTCTGCCAGGATTTCGAGTGTCTGCACAGAGAGGACCCAAAACATGGAAACTGGATAAAACAGCGCACCTCGTTAGGAAATAAAAACCTTTTGTTGCTCTTCATTAGAACAGATACTGCCCTGGAAGATGTTTAAAATATGCCCTTGTAGAGATTGTCTCCAGCCATCCGAGTAGAGGTGTCTGTAGACATTTCCCCTTGCAAGGGTGGTGTGGATTTATAATATAAATGAGGGACACTTTTTATGCTTCCATCTCTTTGGAAGTTATTCTTGCGCTGCATTTGAAAGTAACAGTTAAAAAAACTGTCCTGATGCTTATCAAAACCTAATCAGAAACCTTAAATAGAACTAATTTATTATCACAGGTAGCATGTTCATCTAAGTACTGGCTTTATCATGAAAAAAAAAAATATCCCTGCTGAAGACCAGGGTGATTCAGGGAATAGTAGGTTATGGAAACATGATGATGTCAACTCACTAGATGAGACCTTCATTAATGGGTAAAGCTTCTGTAGGTAGAAAAAATAAACCTTCTAAAGATTTCTGTGGATCAAAACCCCAAGAGATGAGAGCAGAATAGAGAAGAAGGAGAAAACTGAAACACAGGAGGTGTTCAAATCACGTGAGCCCTCTGCTTTCCCATGCTTCCTGGTGGAAAAGCAAACAGCCAGACATAGTAGTCAGGAGTGTCCTAAAAAGTCAAAATTGTGAGGGGACGCATTGCAGTCTCCCCCCAAAATATTTTCCTCAGTCTTTTTTGGTGTGTGTTCAGCCTAGACTGCTGGTAATCAGAGAAGAAATTTCCAGTGCCTGTGATTCAAGAAAAACACTGCTTATGTGATTAAATGGGGTGCTTTCTGTAGCTTTTTCTGTACAGTCTTGTCCTGAGACCACCCAAATGCCAGGTAAAGTACTGTGTGGGACAAGCCAGAATTTTCCTTCCATTCCAAAGGCACAAGCAACAGGCTACAATTGCTCTTATAAATGCAGGTTGGGATTTTTAGGAGGCTACCAACAAAAACCAGGTTATGGGATAGGCTATTGTGGATTGCACCAAGAGAGTGCTGAAATTTCTGCTCTACGTATAGGAATGTGGAAATGACCCAGGAGTGTTTGGGATGCCTTTGTGGGTTTCATGTATATGTATAGTGTTGTATTACATTTATAGAGATGTATATGGCAATACCATGCAGGACTAATTCGAGACATAAAAGTTGTTATGTGACAGATTCACAGTATTTCCTCTGTGTATAGAGAGTGATTCAAGGTCATGGCACGAAATTCATCTTTCAAAAGGGCCTCATTTCACTGACTATGGAAGACTTGGACCAGTGTCCTGTATTTACTATAAAAAATACATATTTAAAGATATTAAAAAAAAAAGGGCAGTATTTTGATCTGTTAATGTGGACCTCTTCAAAGAAAAATGCAGGCTATTGCCACCATCCAGGTCCATTCCCACACCCTGCAAATAGCGAGTGTATGGAAAGAGTTTAAAACTTGGATTGAGGATGCAGCCAGGGTTGCTGGTGGAGGAGCCAGGAGCACAGCCCCTGCCTGCTGGGATTTGTGGGGAAGAAGACCTACACAATCCAAGCTGTGGAAGGTAAAGGAATGCATTAGGGCTTTGGAGAAATTCTTTTAAAAGCGTCTAGAATTATGAAAACAGTGAGAAAAGCTTTCCATAGCCTTTCTGGAGAGTGAGTCACCGGTGGGTTCCCCCCGGGAACTGAAGGAGGCAGCAGGAAGATGGTAACGGCCTATTAAACTTGATAGGATGTGCTTTGGTGGTGGGTGGTGGGACCATGGCATTGCCAAGAGTCTCACCAGCAGGCAGCAGAAGGACGTGCACATTGTACTTCCTTTGGGGTACATTTTCCATGCGGCGAGGTGGGGATGAGGAGGCAGCTGCCTTCTCCCAGAGAGCCTGGAAGCACTGAGTTTCCCTCTGGAGTTGCACTCCTCTTGATATGCATCAGTAGTTTAATGGTATTGTCTTGTAAAGAGGAGGTTTTAAAAGATGTTTTTAATACACGAGAAAAACTTAAACCTCATTACCAGCGAGTCTGGGGACTCCCCCATCCTTGTGTTATCTCGGGGAGGCACAGCCCTTGCTCACAGTACCTCATGTGCAAGGGCCAAAAGCAGAGACTGTTTGAAGCAACAGTTCTTGTCTCAGCCCCCAAAAAGGCAGGGATATGAGGTATTCCTTTGGCACTGTGGTTGCCTGGGGAGGCATCTGGAACGGAAGGTCTGCTCTGCCATGAGCAGAGCTATTACAGTGCTGTTACAGCCTTTCCAAGAGGATAATTTTCTTTGGGTGTTCCCACCTTCTCTTGGCTTATACATAAGATGACAACACGGCTGAAAAGACCCTGCTGGATTCCCAGAAAGGGACAAAGTTAGTAATGATCAGCATGCAAAGAACGATTAGACACAGATAGAATTGGATTGATTGCTTTGGACGACTTTACCACCTTTGTTTTTCTTCCTAAAATTTGTTGTGGGTTCCTTTTTAGTAAAATAAATCACAGCACTATGCGTGCAAACCCCCTGCAATGTCACTATATTTTTGGTGGCTCACAGTTAGCTCTGATAACCCAAAGGATGGAGGCTAGCATATGTCTTGGGTGGAGTCAGGAATAATGTGCATCTTTGTGTCTTTTGACGTATGACAGATCTCTTCAGTCAGATGCAGGCCTGGCTGAATTCAGCCACCTTGGCCTG